AACACACAAATAATTGAATTCCTCTGTTTATTTTTTTAATAGAAACAAATAAATTCAGACTTATTTATTTTTTTAAAGTAGAGAAGCATTGTCCATGTACAGGCTTGTTTTGGGAAGGCAGAAAAGAGCCATGATCCGGTGGAGGGTGCAGGGCTGGAATGGGCACTTTTCCAGCTGGGGCTAGTGCTGGTTACGCTGGAAGTCTTTTTTTGAGCAAGCTTTCCAGTAAACTCAAATTGACCATTGATACCAATACAATGTTTTTGTGACCGAAGTCTGGAGCTCACAGGGCCTCTTTTGCACTAGTTCATGGGCGTGTTCGGTGTCAAGTGTCACCAAATCAACTGAATACTTTCTTTCTCAAGCTTATCTTTGATTACAAGAAATAAAACAAGCTACTAGGGTCTGACAGTTCCTGACCTTTGCTCATGCAAATATACAAATATACAACTACACGTCAATCCTAACCACAAGGCTTTGGAGGCTGATTTTGGCGAAAACAAGTCGAAGGCAGCTGCCTGAAGCCACACCGCACCCACCCTCCCCGCACCAGGAGCTATGTGGCGCTTACATGGAACCAGGAGAGTCTTCACGGCTTCCTTGGAAGAGGCACAGTCCAGGATTTTGTCATTACTTTCCCTCTTTCAATACCCCCAATTTAGGAAAGGCCATTTGGACACCCTGGCAGGTTGGCTTTTTGCAGGCAAGTGGTGGTTAAACCTTCTCAATCCTCATCCTAAACAGCTCTGCAAGACTTGCAGACGTGATTTGCAGCCTTGGAATAGAAGCAATGTCCCCACTTGTGTGCGTGCATATGAGGGTGAAAGATTTCATCTACTAATCTACTTAAACACAGATTTATTTTATTACTGAAAGTGAGCAACTTCCATTGAATCTCCTGGAAATGATGTCAGGGTCATCTTTCTTCCAAGTGTACTTGAGCTGCTTAACTGACTTGTCCACTCCATTCAATACACAGCTTATTTAACATTTTATATACATTATGCCTCCATGAGTGATCCTGCAGTGACCACCAGACATGGAAGCTAATAATCAGTTATTCAAAAAAACGTTCAAATCCTTCTCCCACGGCTGCAATTTTGCCATTGATGCCATGAGTGGGAGTTTTGAACCCAAGTGTGACAAGCATGACCTCAACGAAACTGTAAGTCTCCTTAGCAAATAAAAACAGACGGGGAGGAGACTGGTAAAAGGCCTATCGAATGGAAATGTCCATGTGTCTTCAGATCTACTTGACTTGTCTAACGCTGAGACAGAGAAGAGGAACCGGGAGTATCTGCAGTTGAGAAAGGAGGATGCACACAGGACTGAAAACAGCTGCAGACATTAAAGGCTCTGCTGACAGTTGTTGGGGGTTTTTTTGGTGTTACAGCAACTGTAAGGCTGCATCTCTTTTTATTTTGTTTCCCTTTTTCCCTCCTCTCCCAAAGAACAGCAGCGACAATCAGTTTTGCTGAGCTGCTTCAGCAGAACATTCCTAACTCCCCTCCACTCCAGGAGCTGCGCTGCTGCTGCGGGGTGACCACCAATGTTGTTCTAGATGGCAAATACAGCTGCTAGGCTTTTGCATTTTCATTTACCAAACACAAGAACAAATCCATTGTGGACCTACTATCTCACACTTTAAAGAGGACTTTTCTAAGTGTGTGGATCTGTTTGGACCAGATGAAAAAGAAAGCTACGGATGAGAAGGAAAATGAGAACAATAACAACAACAACAATAAAAAAACAGTTCTATTTATGAAATCATACTATTTAAATATCAAAATACAGACTACTGGTAAAGTCCCTTACAATAGATGCCCACTCAGTGAGATCATAACTAGTGACAGGTGAACTGAAAAAGTTTGGAAAAATTGAGAAAAATAAGAAACAGGTCGGAGAATCATGTGGGGTAAATGTTCCCCTTTACATTTCTACTATCTCTTGATTTCAGTTCAGCTGGAAATAAATGCTGCTGAAAATCTGCCGTTTTTCAAGCCCAGAAGAACCCATGAATACAAGAGTACATGAAACATGAAAAAGGTGTGCGTTTTCTTGTTTTAAACTGAGGGGATGTGGTTCTAAAGATCTTAGGCCAAAACTGCACTAACTTTTCCCTGGCTCCAAACCAGTTAATCTATGACTAGTCATGATATTTTAATATAGAGTTCCTCATTTACATAAAACAGGTAAAATAGGTCACAAGTGTTTAAACAAGTAAATTAGGAAAAAAAAAATCAGTTGTATTTGAAGTCAAAAATTGGTAGAAAACACAGACTTTTTTAAAAAATTATTTTTTAATAAATTTGGCAGAGAATCATGTTGAAATGCAAATTTATTACCAAGAAAAGTTCAGAAATATGATAATAAAAACGTTTAGGAAAAAACCAAAACTGTAAAAATGTGAGTGTGCTCATTGGAACTCAAACCCCAGATAAAACAAGAATTATTTTATTTTTATTTTGGAGGGAAGGGAAGAGGGGAGAGAGGAACTGTTTTCCAGAAACAATAATTTCTTAGCTCTTCATGAGTCCCAGCCCTCCCTTGCAGTCATGCTAAAGAGCACAGCAGGGCCAGAGAAGTTTACATAGAGAACGCTTCAATGAGGTTGTTGCATATGTGCGAGACATTTTCACTTGGTACATGGAAGCGACTGATTTCAATGGCACAGTTTATATCGAAATGGGGCTGGGTTCTAGTTCTCTAGTAGTTGTACTTTGAAAGGTGTAGTATTAGCCCTCTGGTTCTTCTTGCAAAGACACTCTCCACAAAGCGGGAGATGGCTAAATGCCCAGCTGACTCGCCGGAGACATCTTTGATGTGGCCAAACCATTTGTTTTCCCTAACTAAAGCTTGTCTCAGCTCTACAGCACAAAAGTGATGTGCAAACTATATCTCAAATGCGGTTGCATGACAATATATATATATATATAAAAAAAAATAAAAATCAAGCATCAGTGTTTCATCTGCACTCACAGAAACCATTAATTTAGACCCCCCCAACTTGCTACTCCCTCTTCACCCAAGCAAGCGTGCCTGTTTACTGCAGACACTAATTGTAACTCAAAAATGAGAGTCCAAGCTGAAGTCCACTAAGAGAGTTATCTTTGATTGCATTTCCTTGCCTTTGATGGTTAAAGGCTATTAGAAAAAATAAATTAGCTGTATGCATGTTTCTTTATTTTGGGCACATTTGATGACACTCCCTGGCTCACAAAATTTCTCTAGTGACCTTTGGATGGCTGTTGCCACTGGCCCAGCAGGTGACATTAGATGTTTGCCATCTCCAGCTGTGGAAAAGTTTCATTTATAACTCCTGTAATACAGCAACCAGAAAAAGAAAACAAAAGCAATCCTGCCACGGCTGGTTTTGTTGCTGCAACTCAGCTATCTGATGTAAAAATATGTACAAATTCAAACTAGAAAAATTTTGAAAGTTGTAGATGCTGCTACTTTTTCCTTTCCTTTTTGAAATTACTTTGGTCCATCTGTTACTTTTAAATCACCACTTTTCTGTCAGAGTAAAACCAACAAGCTGTTTGTGCTTCTGTGGCCAGTTGCCCATGGGACAAGAAAAAAATAAAATAAAACTACCGTGTAGGAATGTTAAGAACTGGATATGTTCCTGTTTAAATTACAAACTCTGCCCTGACAGACTAAGCTGACAGCAGAATAAACAGATACAAACTCTGCTTTTATCAAGCATTTCCTCTAAATATCTTTGGATAGCCTAACTGTGGTATCATAAGAAGAAAAAAAAAAAACCAAAACCCAAACCCCTCTCCCTCTAATACAATGCCCACAAGAAAAGGCTGAGTTTTGCCAGAGAACCTGTTCCCAGCACAACCTGCTCAAGTTTTTTTAAAAAAAAAAAAAAAAAAAAAAGAAGGCTTTTGCCCCATTCCTATGCTCCTTGTAGTGGTTTCTCTTCACTCCCCAGTCTAACCTGGAACAGTACACAATTCCATTTCAGTGTTACATGTTTCCTTTGCCTTAACGTAAAAATCTCAAAACCCCTGTTTCTTCAGCAGATAAGATTCATAAGCCTCATAAATATGTCTGTCACACTTCACCCCCCAAAAAAAAGAAATTAAAATCACGGTTTAACCCAATGATGGGTAAGGAGACTGGGGGCCCTATGTCCACTGCTGCTATTTAGTAACATGGGACAAGGGACTTAGTCCTTTTGTCTGCTCCCCCAACAGTAACCACCCCCCACCCCCCACCCCCAATAAATAAATAAAGCAAATCCTGGTTACCGAACTTGGCAAAGCATTTTTGAGATACATGGATGAAAAGCACCCGTTTGCTGAGTGATATTATTATATTCATTACTATTACTGTTAACAACGTGTCTGTTATAAATGCCGGTTACACCAGGTGTAGGTGAACGGTTTTGTTCCTCCTGTTGGGGATGACCTGATTTGTGTTCACCTTTGGACAGTCAGAGTCCACAAGGGATTCTTTTATTTTTCTGCCCGAAACCAGAGTCCAATAACTAACAATGCAAACAAATGAGCAAGCGAATGCCTGAAGCCCCAAGAGGGCAGGTGCTGCTCTTCCCCACTCGGCTCCGGGGCACTCACCCCTGCTGCCCCCCCTCATTCCCCCCAGCTTGCAGAATTCAAATTTACACCAATGCCACCACAGTAAAATATGCTTTGCTGGAAAACTCAGGAGCAGGTACTCAACCTCCCAGCTCACGCACAAACTGCAGGCATTTTGCTGAAGTTAAAAAAAAAACAACAAACCAAACCAAAAACCAACACCTGAAAACCTAGGGAAAAAGAAAGAAAGAAAAAAAAGAGTGAACCATGCCAAATCCTGCAAACGCCTTCCTGAAGTCCTCCTCTCGCCTGTGTGACAGGGTCCCATGCTTGGGAGGGACGGCCACAAGGCTTTTCACACCCAACTTCTCTGCCTCCCCTGCAAACTCCCTGCTCCAGCTGACCGGCTGCATCTTTATTCAGGGACTGTGCTAAACATAACTGTACCCTTTCTCTAATGCGACCCTGAAGTCTGTCGTTTACCACAATTGAACCAGAGGGTGGAAATACTACACCTTTGAAAATTCTCTTGAAACAACGCTTTTTTTTTTTTTAATCATCTCTCTCAACAGAGCTTCTTTTGTGTGTTCTGTAGGTTACCCTGCTCCCAACCATACCAGCACCTAAAATTGCTTTCTGAGACTTGAATGTATTGCTGGCAAGACAATCAATTCAAGTGGTAAGGTGTATAATATTTAGAGATAAAGATATATATATTTAAAAAAACCCAATACTAGTAAATTCCTGTAATATGTCTAGTCTGATATGAAAGCTCTCCCTCTACAGAGAGACATCTGCTGTGATTACGTTACAAAATATTAAAAAAAAAACACACACAAAAAATAACTTTCTCTGTGAGAAATAAAAATAAATCCTAGTGCAAATATAAAGCTCTGTAAACCTGGTCCTATGAGAATCTATGGTTAGTAAACGGCAGTTAAAGCAGGTTTATCCTCTCACAGAGAGAGCTCACATCATGGTTTCCACAATGATATGAGTTGGCTTGATCAATCCGCCATTTGAAGTTCCATTAGGGCAGAAGGGGGTGCCGCTCTCTGTTTCTTTGGACCATCGATTCACTTCCTTGGGGGCAGCCACTGCTTTTATCCTCTGAAAGAAAGAAGAAAAGCGATGGTGAGAAGACCAAGCAGCCCCTGCATCTCCATGCGCAGGATGGAGGACATGGTCATCCAAGGATGGGGACAGTGGCCATCAGAGACATGCGTATGCCGTGTGGCTCGTCAAAGACGCGGGGACCCGGGCTGCAGAGCACCGCCTTCGACTTTTGCTCAGCTGCAGAGCCTGATTTGACGTAGGCAAGTCAGACACGAGAGAGCATTCACGGCATTATCCAGCATCCTGCACGCTGGGCTTTCAGCGCTGCAGCTGCTGCTCAAATTACGTGCGTTCTCCTTCCTCATTTAGAAACAACTCTGCCTTTTAGCCCAGCCGTTGATTGCCAAGTGGCAACTTCTCTCCTACATCTCAGTTCACAAAGGAAGGAATAAATGGCATCTGACCAGTGTTTACTCTCTTTCCTTTCCTAACATGGTCTTTGAGGAGTGTTTTGGCTACTTTTAGACTTGTCTCTCAATAGATGGTGACAATGTAGGCAGGAAAATAAACACTCATGGAAATGCTCTGGCCACAGCTGAAAAAGACCATTAACACTTGGAGAAAAAACAAATGCAAGTGTTTGTGCTCTGGGAAATGTTCTTTTTTTTTATTCTATTCTTTCTTTTTTTTCCCCTAACCCGATGTGTCCCACTTTCTCCTCCAAGAATACCCTGGCCTGCATTTAAGACCGTCTCATTAGGCAAAACCAAAACTAATCTGAAACCTTAGAAGAGAATGGTTAAGTTTCATGCTTGCCTAGTCTCTAAAAACTTTCCACTGGAAGAAAAACAAACCAGGGGAACCTGTGCTGAACTGCAAAGGGTATGAGATTGCCTACAAATTCAAACCTGAGAGAATCCGCACTGTTAAGTCTGAATCCAACCCAGTTTTCCCACGATCAGGGCAGTCTGGATCCAGTGTTAGTATTTTGATTTGATTCATTAGAAATAAAAAAAACCAACCCCACAACAAAAAAAAAGCTAAAAAGTGAAGCCCACTGGCAGGAAGGTTTGCCTTTAATCCAGTCCCCCAGAGTGAAGGCCATGCCTGAAAGCCACACAATCCACAGGTGGACCCAAATTTCCCTGAAATTCAAAGAGCTCTTAGACAGCTGGGGTTGATCCAAGCCTCTCTCTCTCTTTCTCATTTCCTCAGTGCTTTGTAGCATGGTGCTTTCTTGTCCCCATGGGCTGGAGAAGAGAGATCTGGCACTCGGAAGTACCCCAGTCCCTGAGCACTTGTCTGCACATGGTGGCAATGATTTGCCAAGCTAAAAACTGCAGACGTGCGATGCAAGTAAAATCACCTGGTGTTTGTCTGAGGACAGAAGGCTGTGTGTTTGTTCTGTTTCTGCTGTTTGCCCAAAGGACAGGTGATCTTTAACAGTCTTATTTGCATTCACGGCAGGAGAGGCACCCAACTTTGCCCTACCTGGATAAGGTGGCAGCTTTCCAAGCATTGTGCTCATTTTGTAAAAAACACAGCAAGTTAAAGCTCCCTTTCTCCTCTAGACAGACAACTGGTTGCCTTACCTCAATAAGCGACCCATCTGACTGTATGATGCGGATGACCATCACCATAGGGATGCAGATCATGGAGGAAAGGGCAAGAACCCAGCCCAAGCCAATTGCCCAGTCTGGGTATGTGTAGACCTTGTTGTATGTCAGTGGTTTGTACTTGGCCAAAGAAAAGATAAAGCACCCCTGTGAATGAGAAAGGAAAACAAAGTGAGGCTCAAATAATGCTGAAAGCAGCATGGCTCTGGTGCTACCAATGGCCCTAAGGAAGACAGGCAGTGAAAGGCAGAGCTGATGGATACCATATGTATTTTAAACCAACGGAGGAATTATTATTCCATTTAACTTACTGAAAGAGCATCTGCTTATAGGTAAACTGTTGCTTGACACCCTAGTGTCAAGCTGAACAGCTGCAGTACGTTGCCTGTTCTTTTTTAGGGCTCGAATACTTGCTGTACATTGTAAGGAGCTTACTGGGGTGTTCTTCCCCGCAAATGAAATACTTCAAGCTGAGTGTCAGCCTCAGACTGCTCAAGCCTTTTTGTTAAAATGTCCTAGTAGTCCTCTCACTTCAAGCAGGGACTGCTCTTTGGAGAATGAGTTTTCTGTGTCATGAATGTAATATTTTGCCAATCCCAAGAAAAAAACACTCAAGTGTAGACAACTGCAATTTGCGCAGGCACAGCAGAGAGCTGTCACATTAACAGCTAACATCTGAGAAGACGATGTCTTTGAGGTGTATGTTCAAGCCACAAGCAGCTCTTTACAAATTGGTCTCTGAATGCCACAGCCTACACTTGAAGAGAAGCAGTAAGAGGCGGCTCAGAGCTGCTACATGGAAAACTTGGAAGAGCCTGGGTCAGTACTCACCACACAAAGAACTGGTGTGATCACAATCCAGCTCCATTTCATCCAGGGACCAGGTCTGTATCCAATCATATCCTCAATGGCATCATAAATATTATCAGCGCCTGAAACAGCCAGTGAGTGCATCTATCAGAATCGAGCATATAAAAGCCACGTAAGGCTGCTTTTCTAGCCCCCCCCCCAAGAGGTATTTAAAGGGAAGATGAGTGTGTCAGATGTATTGTTCAAATGCTTCCCATGGCTGTGAATTTCAAGATGATTTTCTCCTTGAGAAGCTCAAAGGTTGGAGGACTCTCTCATCCTATACACTACTTATTACTTAGACGCAGGAGTGCAATGCTAATCCCTCCTGCCCACTCCTCTCCCCAGACTCCCACTGATCTTGCTGGGGGAGATCACCATGGGAAGGACCCAACAGCAAATGGTACACTCTGCTTCTACAGAAATTTGACTGATGCAAAATGAAGGCTTTGTTTGTTTTTCTTTCCTAAGGAGATGGAGTACATGAAGAATCAGGGAAATGACCAGTCCTAAGCAGCAAACATCTGGTCATTCCTTGGCTACCATCTCAGGCAGCTACACAGGCTACTGTCAGACCTTTGTACTGAGCATCACCTAAAAAATAACAGGACAGAATAGACTCTTCTGTCAGCTTGCTTTTTCTCTTTCCTATTTGGTTGGCTTGCCCCTTGCAGACATTGCAGCTCTGAAAGGAAATTCTCTGAGAGACAAACAGAAATTTTCACGGCTGGCCAAACTTTCAACTCTCCTCTCTAAACACACATGTAAATGCTTAATTGTGTCTTTATTAATTAGCAGTGGAAAAATACTCATTTTTGTGTGGAAAAACACTGGAGGTTGGCTTCACCCCAGATGCAAATTTGTCTCCAAGAGATCAGTGCAAATTTATATTAATGGCATGTGTCTGTTGCTGGGAAGAAGATTCTGGGGTGGCTGATGATTAAATGTTTGGCTAGCAAAATTGTCACTGACTCATCAAAAGGTATCAGATGAAAGGATTCTCACTTACCATAAACCCAGGCTACAGCAATACATTCAAAGAATGCAACCCACAAAAGGCATACACCACTAGCTGCATAGTAGTCAAAGAGTTGAAAAACATACATGCCACCCTGTAACAGAGAGAAACAATGGATTATGATCCAACAGGAAAAACCCTGAATACTTCAGGCTCAGCTCCCTGTAACATCTACCGACATGCCTTAATGATTGCTGTCTAACAAGAAGAAATATCAAGCAAGTTGGTAAGGTAAATATTTAGCATTACCTTCCCCAGGGAATATGCATGTTTACTACATGCATCCAAACAAGACGACGATTAAACAAAATTAAGCCACTTAGGATAATCTCCTGAGACACTTAAATCTTTCCTTCTTAAAAATATTTTAGGATGGGCATTTATAGAAACAAATGATGTAAAGAAATAACAGGTCGTCTCCTAACATCAATATCTCCAAAATACTAAAAATGGAAGTCAGTTCTTACAGGGGGTTTTCGATTATGACTTCAATGGAAGGACTTTTTTCATGAGAATAGTTAATTTTTTTCTTTCTAACTCTATTTATACTATGCTGTTAGACTCTTTGCACTCACTACACTGAACTGTATATATCTGCACTTTTACTTGAAAAACTGTGTTTGTTAGGCACCTCGAGTGCAGGTACTATTTTAATTCCCACAATCATGCTCTTCCAGTTGTTTTTAAAATCTGGCTTGGATTTTATTTTGGAGATAAGTATCATAACAGTGCAGCCACTGGAACATATTCCTGTCTTGTTTATACTAGAATAAATTCAGGGGTATTTCATACAAATCTGTGTAACTAAGATAAAATTTTTTCCTGCATGTACTGGATGGATTCTTAATCTGCTCTGCTGAAGGTTCCCAATGCATTTCATCATTTGGAGTCAGATGTTAATATTCATACTCATGCTGATTAGTACCTGAGATCAGATTGAATTTAATGAGATTTCATTTCTCTGTTCCTCTGACTGAAAAGGGGGGAATATATATAGCTCCCTTTCAGATCTAGGGATGAAAGATGCTCTGTAGTTTTTTGCTCTTCTGAGTGGCTAATTTCATGCAATCTCATCCATAGCTAAAATTGGTCAAAAAATTGGCTACTTACCTCAGTCACCATAGTTAGTCCCAGAAGATAGCTAAGGAAACATACTATAGCGATGAAGATTTCCCGTCGGTAACCCTTCCTTAGGAAGGATGGGTGCAGATCAACTAATGACGTGATCTGTCCTTCAACTTCAACAAACTAAAGGGGAAAAACAACAACAAAGAAAGGTGACTTGAAAATTACCCGCCATGCATTTTATCCGGGCTCATACTTAAACAAAGGCTCCACAGCAACACCATGACTGCACTCTGTTGCAAAATGCTGCTCTGAATAAATAAATTGGAAGCCATTCCATTGTAACCCAGAGGTTGAAGCGTGGGGGCAGTTTTCAGGTTGGAACAAGCTTTCAGAATTGACATTCATTTCCTAGCAGCCTTACGAACTACCAAAGCGATTCTGAAAATGCAAGCCACATGGATAAAGAACTTAATTTGATGACAGCCATTATGTGGCATTTATGTTGTAGCTGTTCCAGAAGATGTATGCTAGAAAAGAGGCAAAGAGAAAGCACCCAAAAAAGCCTAAGCTAGAACAGTACCTCCCAGTCTTTTTTTGATGTGCCAGAAAACCTCACAGGTACTAGTTAGGTTAATTCCACAATTGGATAGAATTCTACTCTTGGGTCTGCTAGTGAAAAAAAATCCAGCCAAGGGAAAGCAGACTTTGATGTGAAATAGCAGCACTTCTTGACTGAACTTGTCTTTCCTGAACCTGTGAGCAGAGTACCTCTGACTGAGGCTCTGGGGTACTTCTGCAGCAAGAATGGAGCTGTAGATACAGTTCCCATACAAAGATTTGGTAAACCATTTGCACGTGTAGACCAAAAATAAGCGCTGAATAGACGAGCAAAAATCTTACATTATCTAGCTTCATGGTAACTGTACTTCCACTTACTTGCCAGTGGAAAACTGCACGTAAGATGCATAACTTGAGTTAACCAAATAACCCAAACTGGATTTGAATGCAAGTTTAAAGTTAATCGAAAATGAGATGCATTTCACCCATAGAGAAAAGCGACTACTGAACTGCACCCAAACAAATCGGAAGAAGGGCTCGTTCAGCTGATCTGTACTTTCAGCCTGGCAAGGTACAAAAGCACCGAGTTCACTGAAGACATGAGGCTACCATGGAGAGCCAAGGCTGCCTGTGTAGAAATGATCTTCACTTGAAGTGGATACATCATCTCATAACTAATGAGTTATCACAGGGAGTCTGTGAAAAGCTACCTTTTCCTACCCAGTATTTACATTGCTCTTACAGTGCCCAGCAGTGCCCTGTAACAACTCTACCCTCTTTGACCACCAGCTGAAGCTCCATTTTGGAAATACAAACTGTCCCACAAACACGCCACCAGATTTTGTTGCCTCTTGTCTTGTTACTCTGACTTCTGTAAAACTGGTTTTCTTTTTAAATGCAACCCTTTCCTTTGGGCTGATTTGATCTTAAACTGCTCTGGCATTCCAGAAACCTGCTTGACTGCACTCCAAAAAACCAGAGGGGTGGAGGACAGAAATTAAGCGCTCCAATTAGTTTTAATCATTCTATGCAGTGAGGAGCTTTTTAAAATTACTAGACAGCTTCCAATTTGCATAAGCACGGGGTTGTTGAACCACGGCATTGGGCACTTTTACATTTACTTTGGAACGATTGAAAGTTGCTCACTAGAGTTCAAAGATTAAGCCGTAAAGAGGAATTTAGGGCAAACTAAGAGATTAAATACACAACAACTGGGTAAAAATCCATTTACAGATCTCTCCTCATACAAGAGAGCATTTAGGCTAAATGAACATTTCATCCTTACCAAATGGGTTTTTATAATCTTAGTGACTTTCCATGTGTAGAAAGCTGCCTGTTGCCCTGAAAACCAGCAATTTTGAATGTGTAGTTACTGCATAATCCCTGGTCACCCATGGTTCCTTATAAGTGGACTGTCTAGAAATGATTTACAGGTTCTTTTGTGGTATTTAGTCCAACATTCCTATAAGCAACCACTGGGAAAAATAACCCAACTTCTTGGACTGAACTTTTTGATTTTTTCATGCTCACTAATTAATAGCAGCATGTGCTGCAAAATTAGTACAGCTGAAACCTGATACACTTTCTGGCCCGTTTGGAGGTACTGAATGTGCACTGGTGACGTGAAAGTCAGCAGGATCCACATTGCTTGGCATCTCCAAGCCCAAGGCCACCAAAAAGGCTGTGGCGCTGTCCTCCAGCTGTTCACAAAGACACCCTGGATGTACTGTATGAAACATTTCCAGCTTTTTGTGCCTCACAATGGCTTTGCTTTTCCTTTTTGGCACTTGGCAACTATCAAAGCCTGTATCCCTCATAGTTATTAATTCTTACAAAGAGTTTTAATGATGGTGTATACACACCGCAGCTGATCACAAAGTATGCTGTGGAACAGACTGCTGCAGTCTTTTATGTTTCAAAATGATTAAGCTCTTCTCCAAAGTAGGAAAATATTGCACCATGACCAAAATGGTGGTATTCTGCAGCCAGACTGGGACTGATACTTAGGTTAGGTAGTATTGCCCTGGTCTTGTGGACTCCATTAACTCCTGATGACAAAGACTTACTGAGCAGCATCAGGCTATGAATTAACAGTCATAGATTCATCAAATGCCAACTACAAAGCAACCCAGATGAATTCCTCTTAAGCAGCATTAGAAGTATTTTCTTCTTAACTCATGCCTGTAAAGCCAGGTCTTCTCTGTCAGCAGTGCCGAGACAATACGCCACGCGTCTCTTACCCATCGTACTAACCTGGCTATCCAGTCCAAGCAACAGAAGCATAATAAAAAAAAGGATTGCCCAAAAGGTGGGCAGCGGCATCATGGACACAGCTTTTGGGTAGGCAATAAAGGCCAGGCCTGGACCTAGAGAAAGAGAAAATAGGAAAGGGGGAAGGGAAGGGAAGAGAAACAGTAAGTACCAGCT